GGGGGGGGGGGGAATTCCCAGTCAGAAACGTTGAGGGGCTTTTATAAACTATATTCCACCCTCCAGATTCTGATATTCCAGGGTCTCCCTCAAGTGCGTTTGGGCAGAAAAATAATTTGAGACTCCCTTGGGTAAGTTGCAATTTCCCTAGAATCAGAAACTAATCAGGCTTGGGACTCAACCAGGAGGTCTGTGAAATGAGCTAGTGCCCCGTGGACCCTGGATAGGACTAAAGATCTAATGCTGTTCTCTAGATAAGAGGGTGGTGGCTTAATGTGCAGGACCAGGGTTCTGAATTTTGTTACTGAGATCCAGGATCTAGTATAGACATGTTGAGCTAGGATATCAAGCTGAGGGTCCTGACGTGGAAGAGGGATGAGGGATGAAAGAGGGGTAATGGACAAGGTTCGAAGGGTGTATGGGCCTACGGTTACTTGAGATGAAGGGATAAGGAAAGAGCGAGTGGACGCGGCAGTGCGCATCAAGGGTCCGGTGCCAGTTAGGGGAGAGAGTGATGGGTTAGGGGTCGGGTCCTGGTTTGTGGCGTCAGGAATGACCTGGGTAACAGGAACAGAGGTGGAGTGGAAAGGGCCGAGGTGTAATGGGCCCGGAACCGGGAATGAGGTGGAGGAGTAGAAACCGGGAGGAGGCGGGNGTGGGGTGAGGGGTTTCAGAGGCCCCGAGCCTAGTTATGTGCGGTCGAGCGCCCACCGTGCCAATGCAGTCCGTCAGGTTGGGCGGCGGAGCCTTGGGTTTCGCTTTTCCGAAGAATCGGTTCATCTCGGACGGCCGCGAAGAACACCCAAACACTGGAGCAAAACCAGAAACGGAAGCAGAGACACCACCCCCTCAGCCCTGACTTCCGGCTCCCCGTGCGCAAGCGCAATGTGCCTATTGGAGTTTCCCTATCCTTTTTCCGGGTTTTCAGCTCGGCCTTCAGGCGAAGGAGAGCTCTGGGAGATTGGAGGTGCTGGATAGAAAGTCAGCAGGGGGCGTGGCCACGCTGGGTGATGTGAGGGTGTGACTTCAGATCAGCAAGGCGGGGCCTCACCTGAGTGGGTGGGACTCGGGCGGCTTCCGGGGTATAGGGCGGGGTAGGAGCGGAGTTTGCCCTGAGGGGCGTGGCCGGTTGGCCTGGGCGGGGCGGAGCGGGACGGGAGAGTAGCCCTGCGGGGTTGCACCGAGCGGAGCTCAGCTCCCCCCGCTGGGCCGCCAACAAGTGCGGGTCTGGCGGAGCGCGGTGGCGCGCGGAGACCGAGAGGCGACCGGAAGCGGCTGGGCTCCCGGCGGCGCGCCCCTCGGCCAAGCCGGGAGTCGCGTCAGTCGGTGCCCCCGGCCGAGTGCGGTCCGCCTCCCTCTCAGCGATCATCCCTCCGGAGTGCGGCCAGAAGGCATGGCGCATCCAACAGGGGCGCCGCCGCCGGTGCTCGCAGGCCGCGGGTGAAGAAGAAAATGCGAGCTCACTCGACCCGGAGCGAAGAAGTGGCCAGGAGCGAGGAAGTGGCCCGGAGCGAAGAAGTGGTCGGGAGCGAAGAAGTGGTCCGAAGCGAAGAGGTGACCGAGAGCGAAGAGGTGGTCCGGAGCGAAGAGGTGACCGAGAACGAAGAGGTGGTCCGGAGCGAAGAGGTGACGGAGAGCGAAGAGGTAGCCCTAAGCGAAGAGGTGGCCCAGAGTGAGGAAATGGCGGCGGCTGGACTCAGCGTGACCGTCACCCACAGTGAGCACGGGTGGCCGGGTGGGTTCCGTGCCGGACCGTGAAAATTTGGCACGGTCTGTAGGTTTGGCCACATGTCCTCCGGAAGCGCGTGCCCTTGTGTTTGTCCTGACGTCCGGAAGTGTGGGTTCTAGTTTGTGTCCATGAGGCCGGTTTTTGTGCGGGTCTTGTGTCAGCACACCTTTTTCTGTGGCCGCAGTATTCTGTTTCAGGTCATTGTTTAATCTTCGATGCCGTGCTTCATGTCATGATCCTAGTTGTAGGTGTTAGTGTGTGCCTGCACAGTTATTGTGAGTCTTTGTGTCAGGCTTGTATTTGGCCATGTGTATGACTGCTGTGTGTCTGAATACCTGTGTGTGTATCCAGTCTGAACTCATGTACACAGTTTGAGTGGGCCATGGGTCCAAGCATACACTCTGGGCACCTTTTGACTCTGCCTACTGTTGGAGTTGACACAGAACTAAACAGTCAGTTCACCGGAGAGCTGAGTCCATGAGGTTTCCTCAGGACCAACAGTGGGTGATTTCAGGGCTTGGGATCTGGAGACCAGGAATCTAGATCCTGTAATTTTGAATGACTTTGAGATGTTTCCTGTCTAGGCATCTGGTTTGTTCTCTGTGAAGTAGAGTTGTTAACATCTGTCCCATTGACTTCACGTCTGTTGAGCAGGCTCAAGGCTTGGCCTAATGCATGGTAAACAGGCTATCTCCTTATTGCCCACATACTTGGAAAAGAAGGGGCACCTCTGCTCCAAAAAGAAATTTTCTGCTCTTTTGAGTTTATTCACTCATTTGTCTCTTTACTGAGCACCAACCATGTATGTGTCCAGATGTGACCAGTGGGAGAGACTTGGAGGAAAAACAGTTCCTTGCCCATTATAGCAAAGAAGACAAAGGCCAGTACTATACAGAGTACAGGGCAGTCAGGCCATAGCAGGCAGATGGCTTCTGATAAAAAGCATGGGCTTTGGAATCAGATCTGAGGTCAAGTTCTGACTCCACAGTTGGGTCTCCATAGGCAGGTCTTAAACTGGACTGAACTCAGTTTGCTTATCTGTGAATGGGGAATAATAGGTGGTACCTGCTTAATAGAGTTGTTCTGAGGATTAAATAAGATAATGCATAAAATGATCCTAGTCAGCCCCTTGTGCATGTTAAGTGCTTAAATATTAGCTGATATCACTAATATTGTCAGTTATAATAAAGGAAACAAAATCCTTGAGCAGGTCACCAGAAGAAAGCTAGACAGGTGTGGGGGGATGCTGTTTGGAGTAAGTGGCATATGAATTGGGCCTTGAAGGCTGAAGGCTGGGTACATAAATATGATAAAGTATCAGCCTATATTGGTTTATGTGGAAGAGTTTTCCTAATTGAATGCTTTTCTCTCCCCAGGCAATGAGAAGCACGACCTTCATGTTACCCCGCAAGAGGGCTGTAGTGAACCAATTGTCCAAGATTTGGCCCAGGTTGTTGAAGAGGCCACAGGGGTCCCGCTACCTTTTCAAAAACTCATATTTAAGGGTAGGCATTTCTCTTCCAACTTTGAGCTCTTATGGCTAAAGGACCTATTTTAAACTGTTTAACCCTACCTAATAGTAACTCTTAGCTTTCAAAATTGGACAATTCTTATTTGCTATTTATTTCTTCAGCAAATATTTATTGAGAACCTGCTATTTACTGCACACTTCCAAACATTTGGACAGGTATTAGAGTTGATGTCACATGAGGGCGGCAGAAATCATACCATTTCTGATGAAGCACGTGAGCAGTCTTCCCTGGCTAAGTTAGGTTCCTTTTCCTATTGTATGTTCACATGACACTCCCTACCACTTCAGCATAACTTGTATTGAAATTACTATTAGATAATTGTTTTCATAGTTGCTGATTATCTGATTTCTCTGTTAGAATAACAAACTTTGTGAGGGCAGAGATACTGCTATGTGTTCATGCTCAGCATAGTGCTGACGCAGAGGGTGTTGAATGAACAACCTTACCAGGAGCCTGACTGTGGCAGGCCCAGTGGATGATGCTGATTTCTGCCAGGACCTACCCCCTCCAAACCCCCATTCTCTGTCTTCCCATTCCCATGGGAACCCATTATTTTGGTATCTGATGGGGCCAGATTTATCTCACCTTGTGCCAGTCATAAAGAATTTAGTGATGGGAAGTATTTTTATTTGTACTTCACAGTGTAACTCCTTGTTTTTTCATTAAAAAAACAACAACACATTTTACTTTAGAATTATAAAGGCAGTACAAATTCATGTTTCAAAATAGAGAAAGCACAAAGAAGGAATGTTCTCCTGGGTAAAACCCCTCATAACATTTCAGCATATTTCTCTTCAGCCTTTTATTTTGTTTGTTCTGGCATCTAGGAGTGTGGGTTCTTGTCTGTGGGTTGTTGTTCCTTTTTAGTTGGCAAAACCAAGACCATATTGATTATATAGTAGTTGTGTTTTTAAAAAAATTTTTAATTGATTTTTATTTTATCTTTTATTTGTTTATTTTAAATATATCTTTATTGATTTCCGAGAGAGGAAGGGAGAGGGAGAGAGATAGAAACATCAATGATGAGAGAGTCATTGATTGGCTGTCTCCTGCACGCCCCTGACTAGGGAATCGAGCCCGCAACCCAGGCATGTGACCTCACTGGGAATCGAACCCCAATCACCTGGATCCTAGGTTGACGCTCAACCACTGAGCCACGCCCGGCCAGGCTTTATTGATTTTTAGAGAGAAGAAGGGAGAGAGAGAAAAACATCAATGTGTGAGAGAAACATTGATCAGTTGCCTTCTGTACACACCCTGACCAGGAATTGAACCTGCAACTTGGGTATGTGCCCTGACTGGGAATCAAATCTGCCAGTTTTCGGTGTGCAGGACAATGCTCCAACCACCTGAGCCACACCAGTCAGGGCTGATTATATAGTTTTTATAACATTTTTTTCTTATAATACTGGTTCATCAATATTTATTGTGACTTTGAAGTTACTTGAAAAAATGAGCTTTAATGCCTACAAAGTCTTCTGTTGTAATGATGTATAGTTCATCAGCTCCCTATTCCTGAATTTTTGTCTCTTTCCTGTTTCTCACTATTGTGAATAAAGTTGCACTGAAAATTATTGTATAACAGTCAGTGTGCAAGCACATGTCCAGTTATTTGTTTTGGTTAATAGCTGAGTGAAATTACTGAGTCAAGACACTTCTAAAAAGGTTACACCTACTTATACTCTTCTCATTAGTGAACACACTTGTCTGTCTCCTGTACCCTTGCTGAAATCTGTTTTTAGTGTTGTGCAATTGTTACAACTTGGCATAACTTTCTTCTCTTCAGGAAAATCTCTGAAGGAAATGGAGAAGCCATTGTCTGCACTTGGAATACAAAATGGTTGCCGGGTCATGTTAATTGGGAAGAAGGTAAATTGCTTTTTCCACCAGAATACAACCGAAACAAACAACTAAGGTCTTTTATGCGTATTTCTGTGTAGTAGGCAAAATTGGGGATCTAGATTCTGCACTGGTGAAGCACTCTCTAAACAAATGTAGTCTCCATTTGTTTGATGGGGTTGCCAGTTTTGTTGTTCTTATGCCCTATGGCTTCTGTTGGGTAGGTCTCTCACTGTGAAAGTTAGGAGCAGTTGTGCTGCCTCAGTAACACTGCTTTTGCGTTGGTGGTGGAATCTCAGTCTGGTTAAAAGGTGCCTAAGATAGGCCTTACTCACTTGGAGGGGATTTGCAACAGAACATTGTTAAAATAAACTTGTAGATTTAAAAAAGAAATACTCTACAAGTTTTAGGCTCTCTCCCTTTAACCGCCATTTTTACTAGAATCTCCCACAAAGGAGAAAACTCTGGCTGGAAAGAAAGGTTGAGACTAAAGAAAAAGAGCCAGTTGGTGACGGGTGAAAACAATAATAGCCTCTTGGGTGATGAGAGAGGGCCATAACCAGCCCTGCATTGTGACACAGTAGAATTGTTGTTCATATGAAGTTCCCTTACTTTGAGTGGGGTGGCTGACTCAGAGTGGAGAGAGGGTGAGATTAGAGGCAAAGAAAATCTAGTCCAGACTTGGAACTGCCAGGAGACTGGCACTCAGGATTTCACCACAAAGGACAATAATTGGGAATAGTGTAAAAGCAGGAAGATGCTAGCTTTGGCTACCAATTGTTTAGGTGAGAGAAGGGAAATACTCTGGATTTCTTGCTCAAGGGTCAGGAAGAATGATGATGGGCAATGGGCAGAACCCAAAAGTTGAGGTTGAAGAAGCTGTAGGACCCTGGGTTAGAGCTGTCCTGGGGTGTGTGGAGCCAAGTCTGATTCAAGTCTCAGCTCTACTTCTTTTGGGCTGTGTGACCTTAGGTTACAATAACCTCAATTTCACCAGTTGATTGGGCATCATCCCACCACCATAGGGTTGCCAGTTCAATTCCCAGTCAGGGCACATGTCTAGTTTGCTGGCTCGATCCCCATTGGGGGCATGCAGGAAGTGGTTGATTGATGTTTCACTCTCACATTGATGTTTCTCTGTGTCCCTCTCCCTTCCTTTCTCTCTAAAAGTCAATAGGAAAATAGCCCTGCCAGGCGTGGCTCAGTGGTTGAGTGTCGACCTAGGATCCAGGCGATCGGGGTTCAATTCCTGGTCAGGGCACATGCCCTGTTTGTGGGCTCGATCCCAATGACTCTCTCATCATTGATGTTTCTGTCTATCTCTCTCCCTCTTTTCCTCTCTCTGAAATCAATAAAGATATATTTTTTTAAAAAAAATAAATAAATAAAAATAAAAGTCAGTAGGAAAATAAATAAATAAAACAGTGCCTACCTCATTGGGTTTTGGTAAANAAAAATAAAAGTCAATAGGAAAATAAATAAATAAAACAGTGCCTACCTCATTGGGTTTTGGTAAAGCTTAAAACAGTAATACAGGTGCCTGGATGATGTGGCTCAATAGTTGAGCATCAACGTGTGATCCAGGAGATTGCGGTTTGATTCCCAGTCAGGGCACATGCCCAGGCTGCGGGCTCAATCAGTGAGGGACGTGTAGGGGGCAGCTGATCAATAACTCTCTCATTATTGATGTTTCTCTCTCTCCCTCTCCCTTCCTCTCTCTGAAATCAGTAAAGACGTATTTAAGAAAAAAGAAAAAGCAGTAATACAGGTAAAATGCTTCAGATAGTGCCTGGCATAGAGGGAATGCTCAATAAAAGTATTCATCATTGTCATGTTGGTGGGTGACATTTTGGAATTCTACTTAAACGAATAGAATTCCACCTATCTAGCCATTCAGGACTCTTCACAGGTGTTCATTGTAATTTGTTCTCCCCCCAGGGATCATTCTGGCTGTGAATGATCAGCCCCAGGCTGAGGTTGAGTCTGGCTCCGTTCTCTGAATCCAAGTTGTCAGGCCTTGCCAGAATGTTTACCTAATACCTTCTCTCTAGTCTAGAGTCTTTGTACATAGAAAACCTAATGTATATCCTCTGGCTTGCTTTCCAAGAAGCAACAGTGTTAAGACCTTTTTTTGGTGAGTGGGTTAGCCCAATTGTGGTCAATTTTGTTTTTTACTGACAGGGGATGCTGTTTTTAGTAATTATTGGCTTCATTTTATTCTTAAACATTTTAGAACAGTCCAGAGGAAGAAGTTGAACTAAAGAAATTGAAAGATTTGGAGAAGTCTGTGGAGAAGATAGCTCACCAACTGGAAGAGTTGAATAAAGAGCTTACTGGAATCCAGCAGGTAACTCTTTGTGGGCTTTGACTTTTTACCTTCTCTTAAGAACTTTGTGGAGATACAAATGTGTTATTAGGGCAGGCTTTGTAGTCAGACTCCCTGGTTTCTGATTATGGCTCTACCTTTTCTGTCACTGTAGGCAAGTCTGCCTTTGTCTCAAGTTCCTCATTTATAAAAAGGGGAAAATGATGATACCTCCCTCTTAGGGTTGTTGTGATGATTAAATAATGTGGTATGAACCTGAGACATGCTAAATGCTTTATAAGTGTTGTCATTGTTATTTTCAGACACCAGCCACCATCCATTTGTGCTTCTAGGAGAGCACCTGCTGTGCTAGGATCATATATTTATTGTCTGAAATAGAATAGGTAACTTCTCTCACTCTAGTCCAACGATTTTCAACCAGTATGCAGCAGTAGATATACTGGCACAAGAATTTTTAAAACCTGCAATACCTGACTAGTCAGGAGCACTGACCTTTTTTCCCTTAGACTGTCAAATTTAAAAAAATGACAACAGCCAACACAACAATAGCCATCTGGTGTAAATGAATCAAAATTATACCTATTTTTTTTATCAGACTGGCAAAGAAATATATTTTTTGGTGTGCCGTGGAATTTTAGTAATTAGTTTATGTGTGCCATGGGATACAAAAGGTTGAAAATCTCTGGTCTAATCTCTGTTATAATGTGTTTAGCAATGCAAAGGATATTTTGTTGATTCATGGAAGATACAAGTTGAGCGGATCTTAGTGGGGTGGTCATCCAATTTCTTATATTAGAGATGGTGTACTGAAACCAAGTAAGGATTAGAAACAGCCCCAACCTACATTTTGTCTTTGACCTCCTCCTTTTATAACTTTAATAGATGCTTGTTTGTGTTTTAATTATAAAAGTAATACATGCTGACTTATATAGCTTATAAATAAACATGGAAAATAATGTGGAAAATAAAAATTACCTGCAAGGCCCCGACTCAAAGATAACCATTACTAAAGACTGGAATCTGTTTTGCCATCTTAAAAAAATATATTTGGTGTGATGTTATGTACACTTTGTAAATTGTTCTTTTATTGGATTAAAAAGTTGAACATTTTCTATGTCATTAAAAATGATCATGCTTTTCAAAACTTGCATAACATTTCATCATATATGAAGTAGCATACTAAACCGATTCTCTATTGTTCTTCACTTAATGTTATTTTACCATTTTTCCTAATGCTTCTTTGAAATCCTTGGACATACATCTTTTTTGACTATTTCTGATTTTTTTGGTAGAATAAATTCTTTGAGTTGGAATTGCTGGCTAATGTTTACCACATGTTGTCAAACCTGCGTCTGTAACTCTCGGCTTTGATAAACATCCTCAGAGATCCCTGTTGTCACCAGCTAACTGGTCATTTGCCAGGCAGTGTGAATAAACAACAAGACAATTAATAACATAATGTAAATGCTGCCACTCGTTAGCACGTCTGTGTCAAGAATTATGTTCAGGGTCTACAAGTATCCCTTTTGTTCTCACAGTAACCCTGTGGGGTGTGGGTATCATAATCTCCGTTTTAAAAATGAGGACACTGAGGCACAGATAGGTTAAGTATCTTGCTCAAGATCACAAGCCACTTAATGGCAGTCAGAATTCAAGTTTAGACCTATCAAACTCTAAACCCTGTGCTCTGAACATCTGCCTCTTGTGTGTAGATATACTCTTCTGGCTTCACCAAAGCCAGGTCTCAGGAGGCATTTGCAGCCCCCTTGGGTTATTATAGAGTGGCCTATTACAGTGCTTGGGCTGTCCCAGGGCCGGCTTTTCTGTTTTTTCCAAGAGGTGAAGTTGTGGGTCTGAGGTCTGGCCCAGCCTGTTGTGGGGAATGTGGATTCAGGGTGTGGCTGCTTCATCAGTGCCTCAGCTTGGAGTTTTCCATCAGCCTCAACGAACCTTTGCAAGAATGCATTATTCCTCCACAGGGTTTTCTAGCCAAAGATTTGCAAGCCGAAGCTCTTGGGAAACTCGATAGGAAAGTAAAAGCCACAATTGAGCAGTTTATGAAGATCTTGGAGGAGATTGACACGCTAGTAAGTAAATATTCACCTGAAAAGAACTAGTTTCCTTTTACTATATTTCACTCAGTTTCACTTTCAGTAATGCAGACTTATTGTCTAAGAATATCGAGCATCTGCTGTATGCCAGACACTGCTAGGTCCTGGATGAATGTACAGATAAGACCATTCTTAATTTCTAGGTACCCACATCCCACCAACATAGGGCCTTTGTCATTAACATATGCTAGTAGCACCTAATCCTCATGAAGCCGGGATCCAAATGGTCCATGGTCTCATGGTCAGAGAAACACAGGGCTTCACTTTACTGATATTCATGGAACTGATATTCCATTGAGCTCGTTACCTGTACAGAATTCAATCAGAGCCAGTTCTTGTGAGGCTGTTGGGAATCATTGACGCCCATTTTCCCTTTTACAGATGACGATAATGATATTTCTAGCCCAGTGCCTCACTCTTGAGGGTGAACTACTCTGCTTGGGATTCGGGGATGGGGTGGTGATGAGAGGGATTGTGAAGAAGAAGCAAAAGGTGCTTTTCCTGCCATAGTGAGCTCATGGGATGGCCACAACACAGTATCCATACATAGGAAACAGTCAGAGAACAAAGTCTGTGTCATGGTTCAGTTTCTATGGCCCAGACACTGAGGGCTGGGGGAGCTTTTATAGGGACAGAAGCCATAGAAGGGTCGTGTAGGACACAGACCCAGAGAAATGATTCCTGACATTCATTTACATTGGTGACCCATGACCTACTTGATGTACTATAGGTATTTCTGATGTGTTCTTACATTATTTTCACTGAAGATTATTTATATGTCAATTTATTCTTCCATAGGTTCTGCCAGAAAATTTCAGAGACAGTAGATTGAAAAGGAAGGGTTTGGTCAAAAGGGTTCAGGTGAGTTGTGTGATATCACAGTCCAAAGTATAAAGTATTTGTGTATGTGTTTATCTCTTCAAAGAAGGGTATAGTAGAAGTGGGTGTAGCTTTTTTGTTGTTACACAACATCAACCCAGAACATAAGAGAATTGTTCCTTTTGTGTCCCTGTAATTATATTTGAATTTAAACTAGCTGGGAAGGAAGATCACTGGAGAGCAGATAGGGCTGACATGTTATACAATTCCAGGAGACACCATTCATATGTACAGTGCCCCCTGAAATTGTGCAGTTGCAGTGTCAAGGCTTCCTGTCCTCCCCACCCTTTGGGAGGGTTATGGGCCTAGAGCATTGTCAGAAACCCTGGTCTTGCGCTTCCCTCTACCTCCCCATCTTTACTTTGGAGCCCAGGCCATCCCTGCACAGCCTGTTTCTGCATGAGTCAGTCACCCATGGAGTCTTCAGGATGGCTGAGCACGGAGCCTTGGGGTTGGCCAGCGCTGGATGGACCCTTACTGCCCTGCGTTTATCTTTCAGGCATTCCTTGCTGAGTGCGACACAGTGGAGCAGAACATCGGCCGGGAGACTGAGCAGCTGCAATCCACAAACTTGGCCCTAGCCAAATGAGGTGAGGCGGAGGAGGCTGTGCTGCCCTGAAGAGCAGTACCACCAGCTCTGCCCTCTCTGGAACAGAAGTTACCTGATTTCTCCAGGGTTGCTGGGGGCAATTGGACAATTGCTAGTTTTCCTTCTCCTGCGCCTGTTCTTAATGAACAAGTATTGTCTTTATAATCTTAAGTAGAGATCTTACTTGTTTTCTCGTTCTGTCTCTGAGTGGCTGTGCTGTTCAGCAGCCCACCTTGTCTGTGGAGGGCCCAAGTCTTCCCAAGTCTTTTGACTTTTGGGTGCTCTCATTTGTCCTGGGGCAGTATAGGTTTATAGGCCACCCTGGTCTTCAGATATATGAGGCCTTTTTGCCCTTGTGGTCCCATAGAAGTAAATCAGAATTATTGCAAGGTTGTATCTAGTCAGGAATATTGGGAATGGCTTGGAACAGGGGTTTGGCACACAGTAGTCTAAGTATCCCTTGTTGTGGCCTAATTCTGTAACAGCTGGCTGGGTTGTTGGTTCATTGACCCTGTCCTTACCTCCCCGTGACCTTGTACAGCCACAGGCCAGGAGATTTTAGGGGGCTATTCCGGGGG